ACACATAAACCTGGAAAAATATGAATAAGACGGGTAGACTGTGACAAAATCACTATCTTAGTTTACAAGATATTATGATTTGGGGAAGCTAGCTAATGAATACATGGAATCTGTCTGTATTATTTCTTGCAACCATATGTTAATCTACATTTATCTCAAAACAAAAAGTTTAACCTGAAAAAACAGGCCTAAGGTTTAACTTGCCTTTTCAGAACCATTCTCAGTCTACTTTTCTAAGCTACTGGACCTTAAATTATTGAAAACTTAGTAATTGCTGAACATGCAATAACCTTTCCTTGTATTTAACTGAAAATGGTTTAAGAGTCAACAATTCGAGTATGACAGTGAAGCAGAACAGTTTCAATGCTCTAGCACTTCTGTTCTTGTGTATGACTTGCAGTCTTAATTTTCTGCGTAAAAATGGTTACATTATTTCCTTAGCTATGTTTGTTGGAGACAAAGAAGGAATGCTTGTTAAGTATGTCAAAACATAATCTTATCTTGCGAATTTTTGTTAATATATCATAGAAGATAGATTTTTCATTTGCCCAGAAAGCTTGTATAACACATTTGGAAATTTCTGCTCTGTAACGTCTTTAGAGCTGACAGACTGTTTTTTACTTCATGCTGAAAAGTGTCATCTTACGGTTTTGTGAACTGGCCAGAAATTCACAGGTTTTAAGGGTCTTGAGAAAATTTATATTGGACATTGCTCTTTGTCTAACAAAGATGTTAATTTATTCCTATTTTAAAAAATAGGCCTAGAAAATATAGGAAACAATTTTTCTTTTCTTTTCTTTTTCTTTTTTGTTTTCTAAGGCAGAGTCTCACTCTGTCATTCAGCCTGGAATACAGTGGCATGATCTGGGTCCACTGCAGCTTCCAGTTCAAGTGATTCTCTGGCCTCAGTCTCCTGAGTAGCTGGGATTATAGGCATGCACCACCACGCCTGGCTAATTTTTTTGTATTTTTAGAAGAGATGGTGTTTTTCCATGTTGACAATACAGAATTAGAGAAGACTGGTGGTTGCCAGGAATTCTGGATGGAGGTAGGAGGGAAAGCGGGTTCAATTATAAAAGGTCAACACAAGGTATCCTTCTTTTGATGGGACTGCTCTGTATCTTGTCAGCTGGTCTCGAACTCCTGGTCTCAAGCGATCCACCCGCCTCAGCCTCCCAAAGTTCTGGGCAATTTTTATTTTCTACATAGGAAACAATCTCTTAGAAAACAAAACTAAACAAAACAAAAGCAAAACAACTCAGAGAATTAAAACTGATAGGTCTCATTACAAAAAAAAAAAAATTGAAACTTCTGTTAGTATAAACATCTTAAGTGAGAGAAGGTAGAAATTACTTATAGCATGCATAAGGAAAGGCTAGTATCCAGAACAGCAAAATATCTAAAAATTAGTACGAAAAAGACAAACTATGCAAAAGGAAGATGACAATTGAATTGAAAAGACAATCTACTGAATAATAAAAATATGAAAAGATGTTCTAACTTACTAATAATTAAGGAAGTGTATATTAAAGCAATGAATCACCATTTTATACATTTAGTGTCTTGCCATATTCAAAACTGATAACAATTCTTGATTTTATTTTGTAATTTTCTAAAATTTTTAATGGTTTTTAATATATATAGAAAATTATAAGTTGATTTTACTTCTTACAATCCAGGTAATGGTGAATATCTTGCTCAACACAGTAAAAAACATGAGTCAAAAAGAAAACGCCACTTGTAGTTTATATAAAATTTTAAAATTTGGAATTATCCTTTACTTAGAATATAAGAGATTAATAAGCTAAAAACAAAATACAGAATAGAATGCATTTGACATAAAATTAATATCTACATAGCTATACATCTCTCTATAGCTATTCAGACACACACACATACGCACAGAGAGAGCTCACACAAATAAGATTTGAATAACCCACCAAAGACCAAAAAATGCATATTAAAACTGTAAAATACCATTAATTTATCATATTGGCAACACTTCAAAATACAGCATTAAAGGGGTTTTAGAAACTGAGGTTCTCATCTACTACAGCAGGGTTGCAAATTACTATACAAAAGAATCAATCAAAATAGCACTATGAATTCCCTGCAGATTTTCCTTTACAGAATTCATCTTTCTGAAAAACTAACAACTTATCTTACAAAATACAGCAATGTTAGTATGGTGAGGGGGTATGGTGTATGTGTGTGTATACACAGACCAACGGCAGATGGATGGATGGACACATATTTAAATGTTTCACACAGTACCATCTGAGGTAGGGAAAATGTGAAACAAACTAAATAGTAATTAACTGAAGAATGCTCAAATAAAATCTGAAACACCATGTAGCTATTAGAAAGATTAAAGGAGGTATGTATAATAAAATATAATCAATTGTATTGGTTTTAAGCATTAAAAGAGTAGGTCTTCAAAGTCAGTTTATGAATCAGGTCTTCATCCTGCTGGCATTCATATAACAGTGGTATACATAGCAGGATACCATAAAGCATAAGAATACTAACTCTAGGACCAGAATTCCTAAATTGAAATCTGAGTTCTCCCCTCCCCTCCTTAATAGCCGTGGTCTTGAGAAAGTCACTTAACCACTCTGTTTCCTTACATTTACAAGACCAAAAATAGCAGTGCCTACATCACAGTTTGTGGTGAAATACATTTAATATAAATAAATTAGAACAATGCTTACACTAAGCAAGCATTACATAAATATGGATTTTGCTGTTGTTGTAATAATTACATGTAAAAACACAGTACCACCTGGTGTATCATAAGTGCTCAGTAAATATTAGCTATCATTATCATTATTATAAACCAGTACTCATTTTAGGCACTTCTACATTTGTTAGCATATGTGAATATGTACTTACGAGTGATTCTGAAGTACATTTATTATAAGTTAGGTACATGAAGTAACAAGAGGGAGATAACTACTATGTAACAAAAATGAAACATGACTGATTAAAAGGTTTAAACAAATTATTTGCCTAACAAAGTTAATTATCTTACCAAAACATTATGTCTCTCTTTGGCTATATGGGAAAGTATTTTTTGATAAACCAAAATATTATCAAGAAACCACTAACCATTCTGCCAGTTGTTTGGCACCCTTGCTGTCAAAGTAATGGTGTATAAGTTATCTTATTGACACTGTAACAAATTACCACATACCTAATGTTCTAAACACCACAAATTTATGACCTTAAGGCTGTGGAGATCAGAAATCCAAAATGAGTCTTACTAAGCAAAAATCAAGCTGTACTCATTCTGAAAGCTTTAGGGGGAATCCAATTCTTTGCCATTTCCAGTTGTGGTGGCTGCCTGTATTATTTGGCATGTGGCTTCTTTGATCTTCAAAGAAAATCACTGCAACCTCTCCTTTTGTCAGCACATTTCCTTTTTCTGCCTTTGACCCTCTTGCCTTCCTCTTAGAAGGAACCCTGTGATTACATTGGACCCACCCAGATAATTCAGGATAATCTCATCGCAATCCATCTGCTAAATCCCTTTTTCCATGTAGGGCAACGCACTTACATGTTCTGGATATGACTAGATATGGACATGTTTAGGAGCCATTATTCTGTCTGCCACACATGGGTCCCACTAGTGAGATGGAACCTACAAGCAACTTGGGTTCAGGCTGTTCTCCTGCCTACTCCATATTGACAGAGCAGGAGCACCGTCATCTCAGACAAACACCGCCACTTTAAGTTCTAGTTCCCTTTCTAGCCTCGTGCATTTCACGGAAATCACCTCTCTTCTAAATACAAGCAGCCAGAAAGAGCAGACAGTAAAACACAGATAAGAGAGCTGCGGCACAGAGGGAGATGGGTTAAAGTTTCTTGGGTAACTGCCAAACCTCACCCTTATACAACGGGTCCCAGTAAAACAGTGGGCCTTGGCCAGGGGCAGTAGCTCATGCCTGTAATCCCAGCACTTTGGGAGGCCGAGGTAGGCAGATCATGAGGTCAGGAAATTGAGACCATCCTGGCTAACACAGTGATACCCATCTCCACCAAAAATACAAAAAATTAGCCGGGTGTGGTGGCATGTGCCTGTAGTCCCAGCTAGTCGGGAAGCTGAGGCAGGAGAATCGCTTGAACCCGGGAAGTGGAGGTTGCAGTGAGCTGAGATGGCGCCACTGCACTCCAGCCTGGGTGACAGAGTGAGACTCCGTCTCAAAAAAAAATAAAACAATGGGCCTTAATAAGCACATTCCTTTCCCTTTCCCTTCCGATGCACTAAGATAGAGAAGCTAAAAGCAGATTTGGGGGATATGCCTGCAGCTGCAAAAAGATGCATGGGAACAGACACACAACTCTCCCTCCCAGATAAGCACAACAAAGAGACACAGAAGCAGTCCAAGCCTCTGATAAACTCTCCTACCCTGAATCCTTAAAAACTCTTAGTCTGTAAGACAGTGTGCCTCTGACCTAACTCAGCCAGAAGGCATCTCTCAGGTTTGTTTTCTAAAATAAACCTGTCTTGACTGGAGAGCCACCTTTTCATGTTTCTTTCCTCTTTCTGTAATTCTTACAAATATCAACTGACCTCTGCCAATTGTAAGCCTCAAAAGGTCAACCCGCCAGAAAAGGAATTTACAGTGGTGTTTCACGCTCCTGTTTTGGGGGATGGCAGTGTACCAGGAATCATGATACTCAAATTTAAAATACTTAGAATTTAATATAGTACAAGCCATAATATCATAATAATTTGAAAACATTTATACATACCTGGCCCTAAAATTCATCTGTGTGTACATGTCAACATTCCCCTGAAGAAAAAAAGACTACGATCTGTTAACCATTCTGTGCCCTCATCACTAACCCTTTACAAAGTACTTACATAGGGAGGCAGTAATTCTTTTTTAATTAAATGAGACTAAAAATAAAGTCCCTTTAAGACAAACCTACTTAAACATATTTAAATGTTTAAAATAATTAAGGAAGGTTAAAACACAACTAACTTTACCTCTTACCATATATAGCATATTTTAGTTGAAGACGTTTAACAGTTTCTTCCACAGTAGGTTTATATTCGAGGAAACATGTGTAAATTCCACTCATACTCTCCTCAAAATTTTGGAATACAAGGCTTCCTGTGGATGTTATTTGTGCAGTGCGGTTTTCTACTAAAGGAATAAGATACAGTTATGAGTTGCTTAAATTACATGAGACAACTACCAAAACATTTGCTCGGCAAGGTAAAACCATCATAATTTACCAACACAGTCAATGAAAGGAGTAGGGGGCATAGCTAGGACATTGCATCTGGTGTCTGCTAACAGTGGATGCCAGGATAACCTTCTTACTGACAGATGTTCACTAACCAGAGTTCATCAATTACATTGTTGCCGAAGTAGAAAGAGACTAACAAGGATACATACAGAATATGCTCCTAATCTGCTCCTTGCAATGAACTGGGCACGATCAGAAATACAGTAGACATATATACAAATATATACACATAAATATATACACATACTTTAACATGATTATATTTATATTCAATGACAAATTAGGCCCTCAGTAAGCTTACAAACTATATATGAAACAAATAAATAATACACCCAGAACAAAGGCTATCAGAATATAATCACTAACAAGAGATTTCTTATCACTACATATGATAAAAGGCAAAATTTAGCTTATAAATTTGAGGTTTGCAGAAGAAGAAAAATATTGGATATGAGATCACCTGACTTGCCCAACATCACATAATCACACAGTTGCAGTGCTGGGGGTTAGAATGGGATGTAACCACCCTTTTCATTTCAACATACTTCATTATTTAAGTGTCATACAGGGAGAAAGCTCTATTGTGAAATGAAAAGTAAATCTGCCTTTGGAGGCATTGACACTTGGGTCTCAGACCTACCTTTCCCTCTCACAAACTGTAACCGTGAGTAACCTATTAATCTTTCTGAGATCCAGTTCCCTCATTTGTACAACGAAAAACCAAAATATATGATAGCCTATCTCACAGGATTTCTCTGTATAACAAATACAATGAATGCTAAAGTACTTGAAAAAGCTATAAATCTGTTATTCTGAAAGTTTATAACCACAGTTTTTAATTAGAAAAATTCTTAGATATTAAAATTTGCTTAGTCAATAATTTGATATTCCATTCATTAGAAGTGAAAGTACTACATCAGGAAATAGTTGTCTACCTTTTTTCTTTTTTCTATTTTAGGTAAACGATTTATTGCTTATAAATTTTAAGTTGAAATATTTCTCCAAGACAAATGATGAGTGTTCATAGGGATGAAATTTTCATTATTTATTTGTTCAATAAATATTTACTGAGTGTCTAGTACATACAAGCCCTGCTTCAGGTATTGAAAGAGAAATGAACAGATGGATATACCCACCATCAAGGAATTTACATAGAGCATTATGCCTTGAGAACTTCCATTTCTATATCCTGGATGATGCTGAAAAACGTGATATGAATTTAGAATACCTTTCTATTGTAATGCCTATTTCTTCATGATTATCTTTTGATGAAATATTACATATTTATCCTAACACACCAAGTCTTTTATAAACGAAGTCAACAGTTTGCAAGAGTTCACTATGTATTTCAGCAGAAACACCTTGTAGAGATATAATAAAGGGTTCTCATGAAGTTTAAAGAAATTATAGAATATTACATCATCAATGAGATTACATATTCCTTGGCAATCATTTGAAATGAATGTTTCCCACACTAAAGAAAGCAATTAATAGGTGTATCAAAATATATATCTAAATGCCTACTACAACACTAAACATTATGACAGCCAGAAAATGTAGTAGTATACAATCTATAATAAAATGCCCCCTGACTGCCTTCTTATTTTAAAAATGTTTAAGTAGATCTAAAAAATAAAGGGGCTCAGAGCCAAGATAGCCAACCAGACATGGCCAGCAAGAGCTTCTCCCACCAAGAGATAAGACCATCAAGAAGACCAGCACACTCTGAGCAGATGTTCAGAAGGAAGGCATTGAGAGTAGACAGAGGTAGGACACCGACCCTGGACTGAAGGAGCAAGAAGCTGGGGACCCTGCACAGAGTATCCAAGCATCAGGACTTATTCCTCGCCCTGAGTGACTCCTGGGGAAGGGGTAAGTTAAATAGACATGGAGTGGCCCACTGTCACTACGGACCTCTAGAATCCTAGCTACAGGAGAATCCATGGATATTTGGGCTGGCAAGGGAGGGTTGGTGGGGACAAGGCTCCCCTGCATGGAACCCAGAGTATTTGCCATGGGACCTGCTGCAGTGGAGCATGGCCAGGGACACCATCCCCCAAGGCTTGCCAAAATCAGAGCTGAACTGAACAAAATTGTGACACAAAAAGACATACAAAAGATCAACAAAACCAAAGGCTAGTTTTCTGAAAGAATAAATAAGACTGGTAGACTGCTCGCTGGACTAATACAGCAAAAAAAAAAGAGAGAGGATCCAAATAAACACCATCAGAAATGACAAAGGGGACATTACCACTGACCCCAGAGACATATAAAAAACCCTCAGAGACTATTACAAACACTTCCATGCCCATTAACTAGAAACCCTAGAGAAATGGATACATTGCTAGAAACATACACCCTCTCCCATGATTGAACCAGGAAGAAATTGAAAACCTGAACAGACCAGTAGTGAGTCCTGACACTGAAACTGTAATTAAAAACCCATCAACAACAAAAGCCCTGGACCAGACAGACTCACAGCCAAATTCCACCTGACATATAAAGAAGGTCTGGTACCAATTCTAGCTAAACTATTCCAAAAAATTGAGGAGGATCGGCTCTTTCCTAGCTCATTCTACAAAGCCAGTATCATTCTGATATAAAAATCTGGTGGACACAAAATGAAAAAAGAAAATTTTAGGATAATAACCCTGATGAACATAGATGCGAAAATCCTCAACAAAATACTAGCCTAGCAAATCCAGAAGCACATCAAAAAGCTAATTCATCACAATCAAATAGGGTTTATCCCTGGGATGCAAGGTTGGTTCAACATACACAAATCATAAATTTGATTCATCACAGAAACAAAACTAAAAACAAAAATCACGTGATCATCTCAACAGATGCAGAAAAGCCATTCAGTGAAATTCAACCTCTCTTTATGTTAAAAACCCTCAATAAACTGGGCATCAAAGGAGAACATAGTAATAGCCATGTGTGACAAACCCACAGTCAACATCATACTAAACAGGCAAAAGTTAGAGGCATTTCCCCTTGAGAACCAGAACAAGAAAAGAATGCACACCCTCACCACTCCTATTAACATAGTTCTGGAAGTTCAAACCAGGGCATCAGGCAAGAGAAATAAATAAAAAGTCATACAAATAGGAAGAGAGGACTTCAAATTATATGCCTTCACAGACTATTTGATTCTATACCTAGAAAACTCCATCATGGCCTGGCGTGGTGGCCCACACCCATAATCCCAGTATGTTGGGAGGTCGAGGCAGGCAGATCATTTGAGGCCAGGAGTTCAAGGCTAGCCTAGCCAACATAGTGAAATCCCATCTCTACTAAAAATACTAAAATTAACCAGGCATAGTGGTGCATGCCTGTAATCCCAGCTAATAAAGGTTGATTTTAATGATGTTAATGATTTCTCCAGGCTACTCCATATTGACAGAGCAGAAGCACCATCATCTTGAACAAACACTGCCACTTTAAGTTCCATCTCTCCTTCTAGCCTGATGCATTTCAAGGAAATCATCTCTCTTCTAATTACAAGCAGTCAGAAAGAGCAGACAGTAAAACATAGATAAGACAGGAAGCTGAGGCACGAGAATGGCTTGAAGCTGAGGCACGAGAATAGCTTGAACCTGAGAGGCAGAGGTTGCAGTGAACAGAGATCACACCACTGCACTCCAGCCTGGGTGACAGACTGAGACTCCATCTCAAAAAAACAAAGCAAACAAACAAACAAAAAAAATTGCTTCTGTTCAAAGGCTTCTGGATCTGAAAAACAACTCCAGCAAAGTTCCAAGATATAAAATCAATGTATAAAAATCAGTAGCAGTTCTATACATCAATAACATCCAAACTGAGAACCAAATCAAGAACACAATCCCATTCACAATGGCCACAAAAGAATAAAATACCTAGGAATACAGTTAAGGGAGGTGAAAGATCTCTACTATGAGAATTACAAAGTACTGCTTGAAGAAATCACAGATGACACAAACAAATGAAAAACATTCCATGCTCATGGGTAGAATCAATATTGTTAAAATAACCATACTACCCAAAACAGTTTACAGATTCAATGCTTTTCCCATCAAATTACCAATGAAATTTTTCATAGATTAGAAAAAACTTACCATAAAACTCATATGGAAACAAAAAAGAGCTGGAACAGCCAAAGTAATCCTAAGTAAAAAGAGCAAAGCCAGAAGCAACACACTACCTGACTTCAAACTATACTACAGGGCTATAATAACTAAAACAGCATAGTACTGGTATAAAAACAGATACATAGACTAATGGAACAGAATACAGACCCCACAAATAAAGTCACACACCTATAACCATCTGATCTTCGACAAAAATGACAAAAACAAGCAATGGAGAAGTGAGTCTCTATTCAATAAATGGTGCTGGAATAACTGCCGAGCCACATGCATAAGATTGAAACTGGTGCCCTTTCTTCCACCATACATTAAAAATCAATGCAAGATGAATTAAAGACTTAAATGTAAGGGACTCCCGGAGAAAGGGCAAAGCAAGATGGCTAAATAGAAGGCTCTATTGAACATCCTTCCTGCAAGGACACCAAGTTAACAACTATACACAGAAAAAATACCTTCTCTTAATAACAAAAATCAGATGAGCACTCATAGTGCCTGGTTTTAACTTCATATTGTAGTGGGATTGATAAGAAATCAGAGAGACTGATGGGGTTCAGAAGGATATATATTATTTAGGTGCACCAGCCCAGTCGGATTAACATCGAAAGGACTGAGCCCCAAACAAAGAGTCATTACCTTTTAAGCATTTTGTGGGGTCAGGGAAGATCTGTGCAGCTGGAAGCATGTTACAGAAGTGAGAAACAAAGACAGTTATTCAATTAATTGAGACATGCATTACATCATTTTTTACTTTTCAAGAAATAACATGT